TTACTCCCTAATCTGTCAGGAACAGTTTCCCATGGATGTCTATCTCGGATGGATGTGGTGAAACTTCACTACAGATCCATAAATAAGCACGAGTAAGTCCGTGCCTAACTTGTTTCTTGGGTAATCCGCCCCCGTAACCAACACGGTCCTGAGCATCCACCGACTTTGTTCCAAGGGCCCCCGTCCCCACCTGTCCCAGAGAGGGTTCCAGTCCAGGAGGGACAAGGCCGCAGGCACAGGCAGTTGGAGACAAGCATGGAGAGTTTAGGGCTCACAGAAAAGGCAGAGGGTTGGGGAAGCCTTCCTAGAGATGGCGACGATTAGACGGGGAGCTGGGAGCATCTGATGGGTCACCCACCTCAGGCAACACCGTCGAGTGCACTCCTCACGACAGACGTGGTGGAAGGTTTCCTTGCGTTCACTGTTGCTTTAGTCACTAGAGGAGGCCTGGTGGCAGAGTGGACTATGCTCTGGGCTTCCAACCACAAGCTCAGCAGTTCTAAGCCACCAGCCTCTCCTCAAGCGAAAGACAGGGTTTTCTACTCATCAAAAGAGCTATGGTCCTGGACTCCCAGGGGCAGTTCGACCCTGTACTATATGATTGCGACCAGCCAGAATAGACTCAATGCAGTGAGTTTTAAGTTTTTCAATCATTGGTATAATTGAGTGATTATGAATTTCTTTGGTGGGAGGGGAGTAAGTTGAAAATACTAAAACCAGAGCTGATATGTAATCCCCTGTGATTTATTGTTAATTGTAATAACTATAATAATGATTCACTATAATGTAATATGAATTATAATGATAGTGTTATACTATATACCATATAGTATATTACACACTATATGTAATGTGTACAATATAATATGCATTACATGGATTGACATACTATAGAGTATGTAATATTGTATAATCATATATACCCTAGTGTGATCATTATAATAATTATTCATCATAGCAGTCATTAATTATTATTAACTCACACTGAAGTTTTTCAAAAAAGAAAATATTCAACCGGTCGCCTTGAGGAAAGAGCTTAGCCGCTAGCCCAGCTGTGTGACCTTGGGAATATGACACCCACTCTTTGAGCCTGACTTCCTGCATGTGGTGACAAGGGTTGACAGAGGTCTCTTGAGCCTGGGGTTTACCCCTACTCCACATCCTCTGGAATTTTCCAGGTCCGGAGTGAATGCCTCTGCAGAACCACCAGGTGGCGCAGCAGGGCCCCGTAACTGCTCTGCGGGCAGGTCTGCAGTAGACCTGCCCTGGGGCCATGCTCAAGCTACCCAGGGATGACCCCGCCTCTGGAAGGAAAAACAAAGACACTCACTGCCACTGGGTTGATGCCACTCACACTGGCCCTGAAGTACTGGGCTGAACTGCCGCTGTCAGTTTCCGAGACTAATTCTTTAAGAGAGTAGAAAGCCCTGTTATTCCTCCAGTGGAGCCTCTGCTCACTGTTTCAAACTGCTGACCTTGCGCTTAGCAGCCTAATGCATAAGCAGCCCGCCACCAGGGCTCTGCAAAGAACCCATCAAATCCAGACACTTCAGTAATCCTATGAATAACGGCAAGTCCAGGGATAACAATAATACTAAGGGGCTTTAAGAAGTGTTTGGAAAATGGAATTCAACGACAGTGGAATTTCCTCTGGATGTTTTGAAGCTTCCTCGAGAGCAGCTGCCAGGAACACAGCTCTGCCAGGCACTGTGCTAGACTTGCACTCGGGGCTCACACCAACCCTTTGCGATCTCACTGCTCTCAGTCAGTTTGGGCTCAGCTATTCTTCATTCTCTACATTGTCCAGAGGGTGCTCAGTGAGGTAAAGCAAGTCCCCCAAGATCACAAAACCTTTAAGAGACCATCTTCTGATTTGGACTGGGTCTAATTTGATTCATATCCTGAGCTTTATAACGGTCACTGCTCCACTCCTGTTCTGAGCCTGATCTGAGCACCTCCTATGTGGGTCCCAGTCCCTGTGGTAAAGTAGCTGGAGTGTGAGATCTGGGTTTGAATCCTGCCCTGCCACTTAGTGGCTCCGAGACTGGTAAAGCTACCTATCAAAAGTGCCCCCTGTGGTCTAACCATGGTCTACCATGCTACATTTTCCCAGCTGCCCTGAGCTGCGGGGTGGGGGTGCTGCAGGGACACTGACCCAGCTTTTCTGTGACAGATCTGGAGAATTGAAGGATCCAACAAAGTGCCCGTGGACCCTGCCACATACGGGCAGTTCTACGGAGGCGACAGCTACATCATTCTGTACAACTACCGCCATGGCAGCCGGCAGGGACAGATCATCTACAACTGGTGAGGACCTGGAGCCATCTGGTATGGGGAGGGTGTGGGGCATGGGCTCCCACCATCTGGGCAGGTCTGCAGACAGTCCCAGGGTGTGGGTTCTGAGGTGGGGCAGCCGCACTCCCCTGGAAAAGGCGCCTGACCACAGGGCCAGGACAGCAATCTTGCTTTCATTCTAAAAGCAAGTTATTCTTATGAAAAATAGTATCTGAGATGTGGTGACTAAGAGACACAAACAAACATGCAGATAAGCCTCTTCACATCCCTCTACTGTGCTGAGAAAGGCTGTGTACACACTGGGGTTGGTCTGATTATTTAAATTTAAAAATGATTTTTAATGAAAAAAAAATAATGCATTCTCATGGCCCAAAATGAAAATGGGGGGGGGGGCATTTACTAAGGAATCTTGCCCTCACCCTGCCCTTTTCCACCTCATTCTTAACTGCCACACCCCCTCTCCCCACTCCTTCAGGGGTGACTGCTTTCATGAGCTTCGTACATATTTTCCAGTTATCCTTTATGCAAATGTAAGCAAATATGACTGTTCCCACCTCCCTTCCCCTCGTGCACAAAAGGTAGGCTATTTGTAGATTGTCTTGCTTCTTGCTTTCACTGAAGACTTCCTGGAGTTCATTGGCATCAATCCATAGAGAGCTTCTTTATGCTTCTAAGCAACTGCACAATGCAAGGGGAAGTCAAGACTTATTACTTGTATGGGCATATTCGAAACACAACCTGTTTAAACATGCCTCTATGATGGGTGCATACAAGTTTCCCAGTAGTATCCTTACGGCCTTACTGCCGTTACCCACCGACAGCCGTGGAATCGATTCTGACTCAGACTGGAACATACTACTCCGGTCGAGTGAGTTCGGGCTCATGGTGGCCTGAGAGGCCAGACTTGTACTGTGCCTGTGGGTTCCCAAGGCTGTTAACCTTTACGGGAGTAGAAAGCCTTGTCTTTCTCCCATGGAGCAGCTATGGTTTCAAATTACTGACCGGGACGTTAGCAGGGCCCTGGAGTTTTAAAAGCAGGTACAGAACTTGCACACGGGACAAGATTCAAAAATCGGCACTTTGGTGATTTGCTGCATCAACCCATTGATTCTTCAGATGGTTTTTATCTGTTTATACTGGTAACATATTGGTTATGGGAAATTTAGATAATAAGGAGTCCACAGCCAACATCTCCCTAAATCCGTCTCTCAGAGCACCACCATTGGCCTTTTGGTGAACACCCTTGCAGGCCTCCCTGCATAGGCTCCCATGGGACTAAGTCCACTGTCTTTCCCCACAAATGGGCCCCTGTCCTACTGCTGTCCCCTGCCCCACCTTCCTACCCAGAGTCATGTCCTGCCACCACTTCTCATTGTGAACATGAATCTCAGAGCGCCTTCTCTTGTGACCCAGGATGAGGTGGCCCATCCAGGGAGGGCCTTCAGGGTTAATGAGTCCATTATCTGGGCTCAGATCTAAGAAAGAAGGGGGCGTGGGGGGAGCTGCCCGTGTAGGCTGTTGGCTTGCTTTCTGGCTTGCGCTGTTCTGGAGAGAGGCCCTTTCCCTCTCTCGGTCTCAGTTTCATCACCTGTACTGTGGAGACTTGCAGGTTCTCAGGCCAGGGCCAGGGCAAGGCTGAGTATCACTTCCTCTTCCAGGCAGGGAGCCCAGTCTACCCAGGATGAGGTTGCTGCATCTGCCATCCTGACCGCCCAGCTGGATGAGGAGCTGGGAGGTACCCCTGTCCAGGTGAGCCTGACCTACTGAGTCACC